GAGTGAGTGGAGTGAGTGAGTGGAGTGAGTGGAGTGAGTGAGTGGAGTGAGTGAGTGAGTGAGTGAGTGAGCAGTAGGCGTGATCCAAAAAAGCACCCCAACCGGCCTCAGGCAGACAACATCCAAGATGCAACCAATAAACCGAACAAACAGCTCGCACCACTGCTTTGGCAGAGACAACTTAAATATATATATATATACATATATGCACCTTTAAATAAACACCAAGCCACAAAGTTCCATCGTCATAGTACCTATAACGCTCCTCAGCCTCCTCAGGACTGCCACGTAGAGAGTAATATTCTCGCGCTCCCGGTTCCAGGTGTCGCCCTAGCCGTGGCAGCCTCACAGGTCTCGCTCAATGAACCCATAACAACGAACATCTAGTTAACTATACCAGCACAAACTGGTTTTTTACAACAGAATAGGAAGTCGCACAAGGAAGTCGTAAAAGGTTACCAGGCCTCAGGGGTCAACGTAATGTACACAGTCTTGGAAGGCTGAGTATAAGCAACGACCATCTCCACCGCCACAGCTCGCAAACCCAACGATCAATGAATGGTTTGAGGCACAAAGCTACGACATCACAGTGTAATTGAAAGAAAGATAGAGTAACTTCCAGCGAGACAAACTAATTCCCAGGGTCCTCTCCACGATTCTCAGTCACCTCTTCGGACCAAAACCTGGCCGGGATGATGATACAACTCGAGCCACACTATGCCATCAAAATAGCCCTCTCTCCAAGAATTCAACCAGACAGCACAGCAAACACAGCTGCCGTCGAACCAGATTGACACTCTGACCTCTTCCCCGCCAAGACCTGGCAACTATCCAGCGACCTGACCACAATCAAGCGATGTGCTCCATCTCGAATCATCTCAAACAAGGCAAATTCCCCTTTCCACTCGTTTTCTTCCTTGCACGTTGATGGTTGGATCTCAAGACTCGTCACGTCGACTCGCCTTTCCTGACGAATTCTGATCGGACAGGCATGACAAATAACAACGCCATTATTCATTCCTATATAAAATCTGAGATCAAAGAAAGCCAAACTGACAAAAAATTGTTGGACGTGCTTGACAACAGTTCGTTGCGTCGCTGTAAGCCGTCTACAGTCACACAGTCAGACAGTCACTCTCGCTCTGTCACTGCACTTGGAGTGAGTCTTGCCGTCTCCAAAACACAGTCAGTTTTGCTATCTTGAGTCAGTCATTGCCACGTGAGTCACTCATGCTATCAAAACACGCCGCAGTGACTTGTCGGCACTTCTCAGCATACAGACCTCAACAACATTCTTCTTTGCGATGATCTCTTGACAGACCAAAGCACATCTGTTCTAGACGTATATGTATAGATTCGGAAGTTCAACAAAGTTCGTCACGTCGCCTTTTTTGACGATCTCTCTACAAACCAAAACCAGCTCGAAGTTCAGCACACAAATAGAACTCCACCATCAACCAAAAAGGTTAAGGCCCAGACCTGGTAGCAGCATTGTAGCATTGGTCTCCGCGAAAATCCGACTAGAAAAGGCAAATATACAATCGGCTGCGAACGCCTTCTCTCCGTTCTCATACACAATGGCAGTACCGCGCAGAGACAGTTTGCAAGCATCTTTGCCACAGCCATTACAATGCAATTCGCATGCAGTGAGACCCCTTTCTTTGCAAATCACAATGGCAGCAGCGCAGAGACAGGCTTCACAAACAACTTCTATGCAGCATTTACAAGGCGATTCGCATGCCGCGCAAACACTGGTCCTGCAAATCACAATGGCACCAGCGCACAGACACACTTCGCAAACATCCTTCTCGCAGCATTTACAATGCGACTCCGAACCGGCAAGAACCAATACTATGGAAATCACAATGGCAGTAGTGCACAGACACAGTGTGCGCACATCCTGGCCGCAGCCATTACAATGCGATTCGCAGCCTGTCGCAACCATTGCTTTGCAAATCACAATGGCAGTAACGCACAGAACCGCAGGCCCAGCGGCGACAACGCGCGCCGCAGCCCCTTCTGGAGGCTCTGGGTACTGCGCCTGCCACAGCAGAGAGCGAGGGGGGCCCAGCGGCGACAACGCGCCGCAGCCCCTTCTGGAGGCTCTGGGTACTGCGCCTGCCACTGCAGAGAGAGAGGGGGGCCCAGCAGCGACAACGCGCGCCGCAGCCCCTTCTGCAGTCTCTGGATGACTGGCTCTGGGAGTGTGAGTGAGTGAGTGAGCGAGTGAGTGAGTGACTGAGTGAGTGAGTGACTGGCTCTGGGAGTGTGAGTGAGTGAGTGAGTGAG